AGCTCGGTTGATTCAACAGTATTAAGCGACTTCGGACGACCCGACATCAATAGTGAGACGACTGAACTCGGGGGCCTGTATATTGACACCCGATCTGACATCAATATAAACAAGCGACGTGGGGTATCCAAGTCACTTAATGACAATTTCTAAGTATCAAAGATCATGGCGAGATTAATTGGGCTCCAACTTCTCATCCAATGGCTCGAGCTGAAATAAAATCTAAAGCGTCCCACCTCCTTCTGCAGAGGTCGGACTACAAGAAATAACAAGAAGAAGACCAGCCATGCCCAACATAGTACTTGGATCACATGACCTAAGAAGACTGATCGGATCACTTCTAAAGTCGGACTATAACAGAATATTAAATGCGGACAAGACATGTGTCAATTATCCTGTGGACAAGCAATCGACTGACATGGGTCCCACCCGGTGGTTCTGCACCTAGCTGTCACGTCGCATTAAATGGTAATCATACGAGTAACATGTCAACCTCGAAAATTATACCCGTGGGTTTCATAGTATAGTTACCCCACAATTATTGTGCAAAAGGGGACTAATGTTGAGATGAGGCCAAAAGAGACTCATGTTCATTTGACTACCACCCCCTAAATACTCCCAAACATAGACTATTTGTAAAACAAAACAAGGATCCGAGTTGCTTCATATATATAATATCCGAGGTAATCCGACTTTGTAACGAATAAACATTCAGCCTTGTTTTATTCACACTATAGCATTTTGCAGTATTATACGATAATCACATGATAAACTTTGCTTAAAATTATTCTTAATCTTAGGAGATTCTCCTAAATCGTTGTTGCATAATTTGCATAACAACAAAGGTGGCAATCATTTTATATGTATTTGCAACCATTGTCCGCCCAACTCCAAGAAGAAGCATGCTTTCAAAATTGGCGATGGGTACGGAACGATGCAATGGCACGTACGGTCACATCATCTGGCCGAAATGGGGACTCCCATGACCCAAATGCAATTTTCGGTCCCAGGCGGGAGTAGCACTGCATCCACTGATATGTCTTCTACTTTATTTTAATACACTTATGAAAACCATAGAAAAAAAACTAGTTGAATTTGTTTTTGTTTCGTCTCTTCCTTTCAATTTTGTTGATACTAGTTTATATGAAAATTTTTCTCAAATAGCTTTAAACTCGACTACGTCTCGAATTTCACGTAGTACTCTCACTCGAGATATTCGAACAATAGTGATTGAGAAAAAAATTAATTTTAGTGCAAAACTTTTAAGCTTTACACCAAAGAATTTTTATTTGTTGTGGCATTTGGTCCGACCATTGTCAAGATAATTTTTACATCGGAATTACTTGTCATTGGTAGATGATAGTCTTACATTACAAAAATTTGTAATTGCTTATAAGGATTTTCCTAATGCTTACACTGTTTTTAATATCGCTTGTTTAATTTCACGTGTCTTGAATATTTATAGAATTGGTATAAAAAAAATTTCTATTTATTCTGATAATGTTAGTGTCAATACTGCATCTACAACTGAGCTTAAAGAAATTTTTGTCCCCTTTGTGGGGGAAAATTTTTTTCATATTAGGTGTATGTGTACTGTCCTTAATCTTTATGTTCAAGCCGGTTATCATGCTTCGAAAGAGTCGGTCACGCCCCTTATGAATGTCATTACCTACTTATATTGTCGTCAGCAAGAAATAAGAAATGGGAAAAGTTTTGTACAGAAAATGGTTTTACACTCAAACAATTGCCACCTGATGTTCCTACCCATTGGAACTCAAATTATAAAATCTTACTTAAAATATATGAATTTTCTTATCAATTAGAAGAATTTTTTCATAGTTCTAACGTATGGATTGTGATGTCACCCTTGGTACTGTTGATTGGGTAAATTGTCACACTTATGGAATTTTTAGAAATATTTCAAGATGCTACTAACGTGCTTTCTGGTATTTACTATCCTACTGTTCAACTTGTTGTAAGTCAATGTGTAGCTGTAATGTGCAGTTTTAAAAATAGTGATCCTGACAAACACGACGAACTTGTAAGGGATATGTTAAGAAAATAGTTAAAATATTATTTTTTTTATTTCCGATACGTGAAAATGGCTTGCTCAACCAACTTCACACATATTATGAATTATGTATCAACTCTCACTTCCCACTGATGTCCCGGCTATAAATGTAAGACCTAATCTACAACAGTTCGTCGAGCAAGCAAAAAACTTCTATTGCATGAATTGTTTAGGGAAATAACAATCGGACTCGGGAAAAAATTCAGCGTCATTTTCTTCTAATGCTTCTGAGTCTTCTTCTTAAGAACAATGGGGACAGACGATGCAGGAAGTCGAAAACTTTGGTGACTTGTGGGACGACAATTTTAATCCCTACAAAAATGCTAAGATCCAAAGGGCAAAGGGGACTTGATACGATGAGTTTGATCACTATCTCACGACGAATTTGATACTTACAATTGCTTGTGAACCAGTTCAACCACAAAAATTCGACGTATTCGATTGGTGGTCAAATATGACTCCCATTTATCCTATTCCATACTTGATGGACAAGAAGATTTTCGTTGTCCCGACCTTAACAGTGGCGGTTGAACTAGCACTCAATGAAAGAGGATATACACTGGACGCAAGATGGTTGAGGTTGATGCTACAAAATCTGGAGTCTCGAATGTTGCTGAGTGACTGGAAAAAAGCCAAAATGAGGGCAGAAACGGCTATGCTAACTGCCGAAGATGACAAAGAAGAGACATCTGATTTCACTAATACTGTTTGTACTAGTGGAACCGCTGGAAATGAAAACGACTATGATACCTACAACTACGATTACTAGACGTCGATTCAATCCTTCCATCTACTTTCATCAAGGTAAGTAAGAGAACTACGAGGACTTTGATTCCTGATGTAAGGGATACGTAGGCAACTTAATTGACATATTACAAGTTAAAATATCATTTTTTAACCCAAAAAGTGCTCAACATAATTGATATTTTAACTTACAATATGTCAATTAAGC